CCTTCCAATTTGCCAATATCCTTCTGACACCGAACAGCTCGGAGCTGGACGTGGTTTGCATCAGAGCGCTGGAGACCGGGATCTTCCCTCCCTCCCCTCGGATGAGGAGAAGGAAGAGCTGAACACAAACTTTGGGAATGTGTTAAACCTCCCTCTCGCAATTCCTCTTTCACTCTGACTTGGCTCTGCCCTGGTGAGGGCTGTTTCTGACAGGAATTCCTACTTGTTCTTCCTCATATTTCTACTTTCTCAAGGTTCCTTGTTTTCCAGCCTTCTCCAGCATTTCCCAGGGCTCCCTTAGTGCTCTGTCTTGGTTTATTCGCTGTGAGCTGAAGGTGTGAGGTGAACAGGCCTTGCTGAGCCCACCTTGGCAGGTGCAGGTTCCTCTCTGAGCTGGTTGACTGTGGTAGTTCTGAGTCCCTGTGGAAGCACTCTGCAATCCCTGTGGCACAGTTGGGATCCCCGTGGCATGCCTGGGAGCTGTGGAGGGAGGTGGCCAAAATAAAAGGACGTGGCTTCAAAAAAATCCCAACTTCTCAGTCACATCTTTATTCCCATCTCTTCCAAAACCCCTCAGAGCCCTGCCAGAGAAGACACTGGGTGAGGAGGACACTCTCAGGATGGATAAAAGGGGGTTTGGGGATGTGGCATGGGGTGGGCAGGGAATCTCCCTCTCCCGTTTTGGGAGATGGGGAAGTTGGAGAGAGGAAGCACAAGCGGGTGGGCGGGGGGTGGCTGGGAGGCTTTGGGGTTGGACCCACATGACCTTTAAGGTTCCTTCCAACCCAGACCCTTCTAAGAAAGCAAATGCTCCTTCCATGCTCCTGGAAGCCCCGGGAGCTGCTCTCAGCTCATGGCGGTTCCGGGGATGAGGCAGCCGGAGGAACAGGAGCTGTGCTGAGGGGGGACAGTGGGGACACGTGGAGCTGTGTTTGGAAGGGCTCAGCACGACAGGCTCTGCACCCACAGTGTGGTTTGTGTGTTAGCAAAACATCTCTGGCTTGGATTTGGCTTTGGACTCGTTTTCTGCTGCATCACATGTGGTGCTGCTGCGTGTCTGTTTGGGTTTATTTATCCTCTGGACTTTCTTGGGGACTTTTTTTTTTCCTTCTTGTTTTTTGTTTGTTTGTTTGTTTGTTTGTTTTCACGTTCCTGGCACTGAGAATCGAGGCCAGATTTCCAAAACTGCTCTTCCCCTGGTCATGCAGCTCCAAACTGTGCTGCAGTCAGAGAGGAAATGCTGGGAGAAAATAACCTTTTTGTGACAGACCTTCAGGACTGGGGACCTGTTGCTTCCTGTAATTCATTCATTATTTTTGCCCCATTTCAAGCGATCTGGTTTCACAGTTTTGGCTCCAAGGGACTGGGAGCACCATGGGTGAGTGGGGTGGGCTGAGCCAGCGGCCTGGGTTTTCCTGGGGAGCCAGAAGTGGTTCCTGTTTGGGCTTGAGGTGTGTGGGAATCTGCTTAGAGAGACTAAACTTCAGCTCCCAGATGAGCTGTAGGACATGCCTTGGAGAGCACCAACATTCCCAGTGTCTGCTCCCACTGCCCATTCCCAGTGTCCAACCGTGGAGGTGCCCACAGAGGTTCCTCTCCAAGCCACTGGTTGATGTTCATGCTGGGGTTTTTCTCCCTCTCCAGAGCTGGTATTTGTGGTGCGTTTTGCTGCAATTAGTCTTGGCTCGTGCAGAGTTTGGCTTAATTTCTTCTCTGAAGTTCAGTTTCCTGCTCGGAATTCCAGGAGGCTCCTTTGCTTTTCCCCCATCCTGTACACCTGGGGCAGAGTCAGTCCTCCCGTGCCTTTGTGGAGTGGGACCCTTGGGTTTGGAACACCAGGAATTTGGGGCTCTCCTCAGCCCCAGCACAGAGAGGCTTCACCCTGGCTAAGCCCAGGTTTATTGTGGGGGTTTTTTTTGGCTCTCCCTCTGAGCTCTGAGCTGGGGGGAGGGAGGTGAATTCCCTGAGCCCCAAGTGTCCTGTTGGCTGCAGGAGGTGAGCAGGGACCCCAGGACAGGTGCAGAGTGGAGCTCCCAAGTGAGAGCAGCCGTTTCTTGAGGTTTTCCACCCAAAGCAGTGCGTGTGGCTCCCAGGGAGCAGCGCAGGGACTGGGAACGGCGCTGCCGCTCCCACTGCAGGAGCGAGCTGGCCCCGGGGAGTCTGGAATGCCACTGGCTGTCCCACCCTGTGTGAGGGATCTCAGCAGTGCTGGAGCCACTGTGCCAGCCGAGGGGAGCTGGTTCATGGACAAACAAAGCCGCCCTGCCAGCTGCTGCCCACGCCGGGGTTTCTCCACGGAGCTCTGAGCTCCCTTTGTGGGCAAGGCTGCCAAAAAGCCCTAAAAGCAGCGAGTATTCAGACTTTTTCCTCCCCTTCTCCCAAAAAAAAGACATTTGAGCTCCTTCAGTGTGAGATGCAAGTTGTGGCTGAAGTCCAGAGCAGAGTGAAGCTTGGAGTGAGGGGGTCTGCGAGGTCCCTTCCATCCCAAACCGCTCCGTGGTTCGGAGTTCGCCCCTTCCCTGCCTTTGGGACGCCCGTGGTGCTGCAGGGAGCAGAGCTCTGCACAGCTGGGGGTTTTGTGCTTGTGGAGAACGTTTTCCAGCCCTGGCTGGCAGAGCCCTCGCTCCGAATACCTTCGGCACTGTTTGGAATAACAATCCTACTCCAAAAGCCGCCGTTCACAGCCCTCAGCCCTCGGCGTGTTACGGCCTTGGCAGCGCCGGGGAGAGTGAGTGTATTTATACCTGTGTCACCGAGCTGCCTTATCCCCTTTAACTGCTTCCAGAGGGAGGAGAGCACACTTGGAGCAGAACGTGGCTTTTTGGGTGGCTGCCCAAAGCCTCTTGTCGGTGCTGAGTCTGCTGAGGCGAAGGCAGCAGATCTTTAATCGCTAAGCAATTAATGGTTGCAATTACTTAAAATCGATTGTTTCCAGAGGTCTGGCTGGTCGTGTCCATGGCTGGAGGTGCTGCAGAGCCTTGGAGTTTTGGAAAGTGAGGCTGAGCTTCGGCTGGTGAAGCTGAAGGAAGCTGTGTGTGGGGAGGGAAAGCTTTGCCAATTAATGTAATTAATGTGAGGTCCCCCCTGTGTCGTTCCCGTTGCGGTGGGATCTGCAGGCAGGTCTGGCAGCCACTTGCTGCCTGTTCTGCTCTTCCAGCAGTAGGAATATTTCCTTTTTTTTTTTTTTGAGCGTTGGTAAAATAGATGAGGAGCGGAGGGAGGCGAGATCCGGAGTGAGATTGTCACCGGAGCTCCCGGGATGCACCACTGGACCCCAAAAATGTGACACAGCAGAGCATCCGGCGGGATGGGGCACACTGATAGTGTCAAAACAGGGCTGGGGAGGGTTATCTACAACCTCAGTCAGATTTTGGAGTCTTTATATGGCAGAGCTCACTGTCACCTCCCTGGAGTTTGTGTCAGAGCCCAGCACTGCTCAGCATCCGGATCCTCAGTCGTGGTCCCGAGTGTGGCAGTGGTTTAATGAGCAAGTGCCTCGTCTGGTGGAGGTGCTGAGAAGTTCTCAAGGGATGTTGGCCCTTGGTGTGGATATCTCCCATCTTCCCAATTCACACTGCTTTGTTTCCTGTTTCCTGAGGTGCTTCATGGTGTCGTTGTCCCCCCCAGGGGTTCTTGAGGGTGGGATTTCGGGGGTCTCAGGAGCTGGAGCTGCCAAACCAGCAGCTTGGGATGGGAGGAAGACTTGGAAAACTGGCCTCAAAATTCCCCACCAACCACTTGATGGATCAGCCTCAGTGTCCCGCTGGATATTTTCAGGGGTTTGAGGGTTTTATGACTATTTTTCACTAATTCTGTGCTATCTTTCCCTGTGGATGCTCCCATGGGAAAGCTCTGGCTGCCATGTCTTTCCTGGGAGGTTTTCCTTGAATTCTGTGATCCTGGAGACCTTTTCCAACATCAAGAAAATGGTTCTTCTGGAGATCTCGAGGGTTTTTCCCCTCAAAAGTTGCGGATGGAGGGTTTGGAGAGTTTTGGGTCTGGGACTTGGTGCTTTCCCAGCCCCACGGAGACATCCCCGAGGAGATTCCAGAGGGACAGAAGGGTTAAAAATGGGACTTTATTCCATGTGGAGAAGGGAGAAGATCCTGTTTGGGATGTGGGATTTGTTCCTGAGGTGCTTCATGGCGTTGCTTTTTGGCAGGTCCCCGTTTCCAGTGCCTGCAAAACCCCCCGTGTGTGGGAGCCCGTTTAGGACGCCGCGTCCTGCCCCACGTGAGGTCTCACCTCTGAGTTATGGAAAACTCCTGCCTAGGAAATCACGCCTCTGTTCACCCCCAGAACACTTAAACAACTCACTGTAATGCCCCAGCTTTCTACACATTGCTTCTGTTTGGAATATTTCTTGCTCCCCTCTGATTTTAGGGCTCATGTATCAAATCATGGCGACGTGAAGCGTGTGCGCCTCTGAATGCTGAATAAAGCAAAGTGCCCAGGTGGGATGGAATAATAACAGGTGGGACAGGATATTTTTCCTTTATGAGCAGAGGAGCACAGTGCCTTCCTGGCCCCATCCTGCTGCTGCTGGTTCAGCTGTTTTAATTCACGGGCAGGAGTTTTATCTGTAGGTTCTCACTCTCCCGTTCCTTTGCTCTTCCCTTCAAACCATTCACACACATTGTGGGGAAAAATATGTTCCAGCTTGACCTGGGCTCTTATGTTTCATTTTCAGCAGCTTTTTTTTTTTTTCCCCTTGCTTTCATTGAAACAAGGGCTCTGAAGTGGTGAAATAATTTCAGGAAATGGGACTCCAGTTTCTAGGTCACTCAGGCATTTCCTAGGTAAAATACTGCGTCCTCCAAGGCTTGTCGTGGCTTTCTTGTAATTATCTCGGCTCGGGAAGGAACAGTGGGTCTCGGAGGCTTTTCCTTCCTTCCTTAAACCTGAATTATTTCTCTCTCCTGTAGTAGATCTCTGGCACTGCTGCTGTCCCTGCTGGGAGGGAGAGCAGGGCTGAAGATGGATCACTGTTAATGAAGACACACGAGGCGACCCGAGAGCCGTAGTGCCGAGATCCAGGGGCTGCCTGCCTGTGTCTGGGATTCTGCCTTTGGAATAGCTGTTCACTGGGCTGCCAGGTTCAGTTGAGGTGTGTAGGAAGAAAGAAGAGCTTTTGCTTGAGCTCATGGGGAAGCTCATGCCGTGTTCCTTGGCTGGAGTGGGATGGGATGTGCTCCTGCCCATTGTCACCCTGGGGACAGATGGACCTCTGGGTCTGAAAACCCAGGCTCAGTGGTGGCTTTTCTGACCTCAGTGGAGGGCTCAGGGACTTCCTATGTAGTTCTTCCTGTTCTGGAGAATGTCCTGGAGCAACCATATGGCCACAAGCAGTGCCTGGGGCTGTGCTGCTTATGGCAGTGTTGAGGTGGACGCTGTGTTTGATGGGATCAAACCAAACACCCTGTCCAGGTGCTCCCAGCGAGTCCTGCTCTGGGGGTCTTGCAGTTTGGTCTCTCCCTTGTCTCTTAGTGTAAAGCAACCTTAGGGACATCCTGCAGAGTCCATCTTCCCTCCAGAAACCAGGAGGGAAACATGACTTCATCATGAGAGGATGATTTAGAGATGGTCTTCCTCCGTCTTCTTGCCCGGGGAAGTTGCTGACTTGCTGGTTTATGTTGGGTTTTGTCTCGTGTTCATCCAAGGCTTCAAAGCCTGTTGGACAAAAATGCCTTTTGGTGTTGGAAATCTGCTCTTTGGCTCTGAGCTGGGGGCTCTCAGGCATGTGGGTTGCCAAGCTATGGCTGCTTTGGTGATGTTTGGCAAGGATGAGTTAAAGTCAGGATTTGAAGAGCAGGAGCTGCTGCTCTCTGGGGACTCTGCTCATAGAAGGGGGACCAGGGGATGCTGTTTGTGGTGAGACCTGACCCCCAAGCCCCAGAGGTGCTCACCAGGCACTGGAAAACCAGGGTTCTCAGCTCAGTGGGAGCTAGCAGAGGGACCTCCTGAGGGCAGCTCCAGATCACCTGAGCTTCTGGGTCTTGTTTGCTTTTTTCACCACAGTAATGAAACCCTGTTGTTCTGCCCTTTGTGGTGTCTGGGCAGACCTGTGGCTGAGCTGAGGTGACATGGGACATTCTCTAACACCTCTCCCTGAAGGCAGAGGCCAGGCCAGATCTGACCTGGAGGGTGGCCAGGCAAGGAGGCTCCTGACATGGAGCCTCTCTAACGCTTTTATCCCGACCCTGGAGGCAGCGTCAGCGAGTGACACTTTGTCGTGGTGAACTAAGAGCGTTGAGTGATTGGTGTCCTTGGGAGGACTGGTGGGAATTGTGCTGGGAAAAGCCCTGTGGGCTGGCTGGAGCTCCCAGCCGAGGGGGTTTGTTGCTTTAAGTGCAGGGAAAAAGCTTTTCTGTCTGGGCGAAGGCTCTGAAGGCTGATGTGCCGGTCTGGGGCCCGTGTTATCCCGCTGGCTGGAGTTTGGTTTACGTTTGACAGGACTCTGACAATGCCTCCCTGTCCCGTCTTTCACACTGAGGGCAGGAGAGCAGCTCTGGGTCCTGGCTGTGGCTTCCTTCTCCCAAAGCACATGGGAATAATCTACAGTTCATCTGCTCCTGGGCGAGCTGAGGAGCAGCTTTTGGAGCCACTTTAGGTCCAAACATATGTCTGGTGGGAGAGGTCGTTCTTCTAACAGGGCTGGTGATGCTCCAAGGCGCTTCCAGGGTGAGAAGTGAGGGGTTTGTGCATCTTTGACACCACTGAGGCCATCGTGTTCCAGCTGCTTGGGGATGCTCTTGTGGACAGGGGATCCTCTACGAGCCTGAGCAGTGCTGAACACCCCCAAAAGGGGGGGGTAAGTGGTGGCACTTTTCCTGAGGTTCACTGTAACGACTTGTTAAATACCGTGTGGCTGTGGGGGATTTGCTTCAAGCACATTCCGTGCCAGTATTCCAGTTTATACAGTTGGGTTTACTTTATCAAGCTTATGAAGCAGAAGGGTGTTCTGCCTCCGAAGCAGGTTTTATAGCGCCAGCTTTTGGCCTCCTTTCCCAGATGACAATTTTAAGCTCTTGCAGCTTTTTGGTTACAAAGCAAACACTCTCCCTCCTTCCCTCACACCCCGAAATAACTTGAAAGGCCTAAGAGCTGCCTGTGCCTCTGCACTGAGCTCAGCGAGGGCCTCTCCCTGCAAAACTGAAAGTCTTTCGCAATCTCTTTGGGTGTATCACAGATGGGAGGGCCAGGGAGAGCTCTGGGCACCCAGAGGGGCAGGACGAGCCCTGTGCCTGAGTCCCTGCAGGCACCGAATTTAGATTGGCATCAGAATTCAGTCCGGGGGCCAGCAGTGGTTCCCCAGAGGAAATGAGGTGCCAAAGTGGCTGCACAAAGCAGCTCTTGCAGGTTGGGCCCCAAGCCCTGCCTGGCAGGGCTGACCCTGCACAGGGGAGCCTCCATGGGAAGGCAGCTTTTCTTCTTGTTTTTTTTTTAAGGAAGAACTTGACCTCTTGGTTTTCCACCCCCCCTCCTTGAGGATGGATCATGGTGCTCCCAGTCATGGCTTCAGTGCTGGCTGTTAACCCAGGCTGGGACAAGGAATGCCAACACCAAACCCTGGCCGAGGGCAGGGGAAGGATGGGGGTCCCCTCTGGGTGTTCCCTGGGTGCTGCTGCCTCGGTGACCCTGCTGATCCCAACCCCTCCAGAGTGTGGAATCGTTCTGAGGGCCAGGAAGCTCGGGGCAGAGAGCTGTTAATGACTGCACTCAGAAAAATAACGAGGAGCCTTTCCTGGCCTGGCCTCAAAGCAACGTGTTTCCTTCCTTGCATTTTAGTGGAAATCTCGTACTATTTTGGAGAGCTTGGGGCAGTGCCTCGTGCTTCCTTCTTTCTCCTTGGCTGGAAATGGCTGTCAGGCTGCCTTCCTCTCCCTCCTGCTCGCCAAAGAGCAGTTTGGTTTGTGATTGCAACCGGCCTCTCCTCCAGCTCCCAGTGGCAATTACAGGGTCTGCCTGCGATTTGTGTATCCCCCTGTAGGAAGAGGATTCTACAGCCCAGATTCGGGTGCAGCCATCCATAATAATCTCATTTATTGTGAGTTTCTCTGCTCTCCCCAGCAGCAGCAGCAGCAGCACTGCCTGTCCTTGGGGCTGGGCTGGTGTCTCGAGCACCATTTGTGTTTGAATGGGCTTGTTTGTGCTGTGGCTCTGGTTGTTAGAGCTCCTGGCACGGCTCCCAGGGCTCAACAAACTTACCCAGATGGAGCTGGGATGGCCTGGCGACTCATTAGTCTCTGAGAATTAATCCCATGTAGCTCAGGCTCATCAGAAGTTAACTCCTACCTCTGCTCTACCTTTTGCATTAAACTGGATGTGAAAAGCAGAAGAGCAGCGATGACTCAGTTGAGGAGAAAATGAGCTTCACCTGCCAGAGGTGCAGCAGAACCCCGGGCTGGCCCTGGCAGTGGTGAAACTTTCTCTCTTTTGGGGAAATATATGGGTAAGACATTGTTTCTTCTCCAGTTCTGCCTTTGCTTCCACTGTCAGTTCTCCTGACAGCTGTAGTTCAGCTGTAGTTCTCCTCCTAAGTCCCAGCCCTCCCTGGATCCTCTGCCCTTCTGGAGGACTCTTTACCCTATTTAACAGCCCGGGAGGATTGCAAACAGGTTTGTGGTGCTGCCTGTTGGTAGAGACACCTCACCTTCAGCTGCACCTTTGCTTGGACTTGTTCCTGCAGGCCCGAGGGCGATGGGGTTTGTGACTGTGCAGGGAGCTTTTTGTTTTGGAGAGTAAAGCAGCTGTAATCCCTGTGCAGTGTGTGTCCTGCAGGGATACAGGCACTGAACCTGGCTTTCCTCTCATTGCCCATCTCAGGTAACTCCCTCTGCCTGGAGCCCCTGTTGGACCCTTTTTGGGGTGCTGGGTGTGGAGTCAGCACCAATCCCAGCACAGGCACCAGCAGTTATTTACCTTGTGTGGGATTTGATCCCCACTCACTTAAGAGTTGGGCTCGATGATCCTTGTGGGTCCCTTCCAACTGGGAACATTCTGTGATTGTGTGTCTGCCTTTCCCCCCTCCCTGCTCCCAGCAGGACCAGAACTCTTGGCACACTTACAAAATCAGTGCTGAAATGGCCCAGATTGTCCCTTTTGCTCCAGCAGTGGTTTGCCCTTTTGGAGGCTGCAGGTGTGAGGGAGCAATGGGAGCCCGAGGCCTTTACTGGAACCTGAACAAGAACTACAGAAACTCCTGCACAGGGAGGTTTGGTGGTCCCTGCCAGTGCCTGCTCCCCTCCTGGAAGCTCACAGCCCTTCACTGCACCTTTCCCTAGGGACAGCCTTGCTCTTGATGTCCCTCTCTCCAGCAGTTTTCTTTCTTCTGACTCATTTTGCAGCTCATTCCTCACTCAGGTGAGGAATCTTAGCAGAGAGACTCTGTCAGCTGAACGTGCAACGTGCTTTTGTGTCTCTTCTGTTTAAGCCTATTTTTAGGAGGTTGCTCTGCAGCTCTTCTGGTTTTGTTTCATAGCTGGTGCAACCCCCAGCTTTAATTTTGTGGTCATATTAATGTAAAGTTTATCCTCATGATTTATGGGCATAAGCCATAAATGTGCTTGTACTGGTATAGGAGTGAGGGATCTGTGATGGAGGGGGATCTGTATTGGGAAGAGATCCGTGCTGGGAGGGATCTGTGTTGGGAGGGATCCGTTCTGGGGAGGGATCCACATTGGGAGAGATCCCTGCTGGGGAGAAATCTGTGCTGGGAGGGATCTGTGCTGGCAGCCTCAACACAGAACAGTGTTTGTCTCCTCCCAAATGTTGGGATCTGGAGCATTTCAGCTTGTCCTGCAAGGCCCAGATGCAAGTGTTGGGCATGAACATTCCTGCAATGACAAGTCACATGCAAGGACAACAATAGAGCCTTATTTTTAGAGCATTTTTCAGCCCAGCTCTGTCCCCAACGTTCAGCAGAATGAACGAGCCGGGAGCTTCTTCCGTCTTCACGCTGAGGTTTAAGGAAAAGGGTTTGTTTTGAGGGGCCAGTCACTCGTGACTTTGGCAAACCAGAAGAGACATGACTCAAGATTTACAAATCCTGGCTTGAGGCTGCTTCCAGCCTCAGCTACTTGTCAGGAATTCAGCTGGAACAGGTCCGGGGAAGCTTCACCAACACACAACCCCAATCCCGACGCGTGCGAGGGCCCGGCTGTGGGGTGGCTGTGGTGAGGGCTGTGAAAAGAGCTGTGGGTGGCAGAGCTAAAGACAATTATGAGTCTGACTGTGTCCCTTTCCTTGTCACCGGGCTGATGCCTCCCAGAGCCACGGGCACACACTCCTCTGTAAAGCTCAGACAGTGCAATTAAAGGATGTGGAGCATCTTGGAGGAAAGGCTCCATAAGTGGGCTTTGGAAACGTCATCCCGCTTCTCCTGGCTCTTCCTAAGCTGTTTCCAAATTGAAGTTTTTCAAATGGGTTCCATAAGGTGCCAGCACGTGTCCTGGGGGACGTGCTGTTCAGGAAGGCTGGTCTTTGATTGCTGTTGTTGATGCATGTAATACGTCTAATTCCTTTTAAGGGACTTCAAATATTCCCCCCCGGTGTCTGTCTAGACCAGGATAACAGGCTCTGTTTTCTCTTAATGGGTTAGTTAACATGCTTTGGGACCACTTGGGTTTATGGACTGATGTACCATGGGGATGGCAGCATCTGGGCTGGCTTCAGTGTCTGCAGGAAGGATTAAACTTCGAAATAAGTGGGAATTCTGGTAATTGAGGTGAGCAAAACCAGCTCATCCCAGCCCAGGGTCCCAGTTGGGTGGTTTGTGATGAATAGAGGCTCTGATGGGCAGCAAGTGAATTGCTGAGAAGGGAAGGTTCTGGCTTTCACTGGGTACCTGCAGTCTCTCCCCTCTCCAACTCTTACCCTGAGAACCTGTTTAGGTGGGTAAAATACATATTTTAATTTTAGAGGTGACATCATCCTGTCACTGGACACACTTGGGCGTTGCTTGTAACCTTGTCCAGAACTTCACCCCTGGGCTTGTGGTTCATGGCCAAGGTCAGTGTTACACCTTTTGTTAGTGTTTGATGCTCCTGCCACTTGATGCCCTTATCCTGGGGGCAGCAGGGGATTGGGATGGAGGTGATGGAAAGGGATGTGAGGGGTGGCTGTGTCCTGGGGGATCTGAGGGGCTGACGGTCTGGTTTGGGTGAAAATGCTTCTCCAGCTCCCCTGAGCCAGCAGCTGCCTCTCAGGTGTGTCTGACTGAGCTCTGGAGTGCTCAGTAATCTGCATTTCTTCCTCCCCTCGCTGTGTCCAACATGCTAAAAATCATCAAAACAGTGAAATACTGTCCCGTGGCTGCCGGAAGAGGGATGGGAATGTGCTCCCGGTATCCAATCAGCTCCTCGTTCTGCCTCTTCTTAAGGATAGAATTTATTGAAGCAATTTATCCTGACTAAATGTGACATAAATCTGAGCACATGTATGTACATACCAGTCATATTCTGCAGTGAACGAGCAGCTAAATCTTGCCTTAAGGAATGAGCAAATCCTGCTGACACTTTGCAAGCTCAAGGAAACGGAGGCTTTTGCAGTGTGTTGGCCCAGTTTTTTTGTCGTGCTCTGGGCAGCTGATGTGCCATCGGCTCTGGGATGGTTTTTCTGTGCTGTCAGAGCCCTGGGGTTGGCAGCTGATCCTGGTCCTTTAATTTCTCAGAGAGGTTTTACAGAAGCACAGATACGAGGCAGAGACCCCGCAGTTCTTGGTGCTGGCGGCGAGGACGGATCTCTGACCTGTGTTAATTAAAAAAACCCAGCTTGGCTGCCCTGTCAAGTCAGCATCTCCCTCCAGCACAGCTCTGCTCACGTTTAACACCAAGATCTGTTTGTTGATGGAATAAACACATCCCCAGCCTCATCCCACACAGCCCAGCTTAACCGTAGGAGGGTGATTTAAAGACTCTTGAGACACTTCCAGCACCAGCCTGGCTCTGGCAGTGAGGGGCATCACAGCTGCCCTTCAGTGCTGGGTGACTTTGCTGCTGTCCCAGTGCCACAGCTCTGAACTGGGGGGCTGGACTGGCAGAGAACCTCTGATTGCTGTGATTAATTGAGAACAAACTGTGCCTCTGTGCAGCAGCTCACCAGCATCCCTGGCCCTGAGGATGAGGAGTTTTGGGCTCCACATGGTCAAACTTTGCATTCAGATGGACATCTGGCCATTCTGGGGCCGGGGGTTCAGGTGTGATAGATCTGGAATTTGAGTATGACAGCTTTGGGGTTCAGGTACAACAGCTTTGGAGTTCAGGTGTGATAGATCTGGGGTATGACAGCTTTGGGGTTCAAGTGTGATGGCTCCAGACCTCAGGTGCAATAGGTCTGGGGTTCAGAGGTGATAGATCTGGGGTTCAGGTGTGGTGGCTTTTGGGGTTCAGGTACAACAGCTTTGGATGTGTGATAGCTGTGGGGTTCACATATGATGGCTCTGGACCTCGAGTGCAGGTGACCAAGGTGTTCAATCCCTCTGTGCTTCTCCTCTTTGCAATGTCAGGGAGCTGATCTGAGCCGTGGTTTGGTGTCACAGGAGAGGGTTTGATTTCTTCATCCCTCCCTACCAGAGGCTCCTTCTGCCTGTTCAGACTTCCCAAGGAAGCCTGGGTGTCTCCGTGCCTTGGGAGCAGGTCATGACAGCGGCTCATGTGTCCGCTCTTGGGAACAGCAGATGTGTGAGAGGCAGCTGCTCCGGGGCCCAGGGAGATTCCTCTGGGAGGAGGATCAGGTGGCTGCAGATGGAGGGGGGATCCCTGTCTCCTTAGCAGCACTTTGGATTCCGGAGTTCCCGGTTTGGAGCTTGGGTAGAAGTTCAGAAGGGTGATATGAAGAGTCTCGTCTGTAACTGTCCCCGGTCAGACTCGTTTTGGTGTCACCTCAAGGCTCGCCTTGGGTGGGATTTGCCCTTCCTGCTGAAGGTGCTGCCATCCCCTGCCAGGCCACCCCCAGCTCTGCCAGCCCTGTCTCACTTCTGGGGGCTGCTCTGAGTGGGTGGATGCTCCTGGGCCATTTGGTTGCCTTTGTTATCCCTGTCCTGGGCTGGGCAGCGGTTTGGCTGCCAGCCCGTCCCATTTCTGACAGGGACATTTATCCTTTCTGAGTCCTGTTTGCACAGACCCTGGAGTTTGGCTTAATAAATCCAGACACAGCCCGGTGCTGTGGATGCCTCTCTCTCCTGTTTTTCTGGGAGAAGAGCTGGCAGCTCCTCTCTCATCACACTTCGGTTGTTGCCGCTGCGGGCGAGGGGAGGGAATTCACCCCCTCGAGCCCATGTAGCTGCTGACTGTCCCAGCAATAGAAAAATAACCTTTTTTTTTTTTCATATTAAGCAATAATTGATTCCTGTGCCTTTTCACTGAGAGCAGAAGGGGCTGTTTCTGCAGCACATGCTCCCCCTCCGCTGCTGAGCCGCATTCTTGGAGCACTTTCTCACAGAGCTCCTAAAAATACCAACCCTCCCTCCCCACCCTGGTGTGGGTGCTCAGGGCTGGAAGTGCAGAACCTTCCCCCCAGAGCCCATGGCTGTGCTCTGGGTCCCTCCCCAGCTGAGCCAAGCGCCCAACTTGGAGCAGGAGATGCTGGAAGCAACACGAGCAGCCCAAGCGTGTTCCCACAGCAACCCCCCGAAGGGAGAGCATTTGCTTTATTACAGCTTTTTAAAATCCTCCTATAAAAATATCAGTGGGTGGAGGGGACCGTTATTTCTTGAATTTGAGGTGGTGGGGGGGGTTACTTTATTTACTCTTATTTTTTATTAATAAGAATAGCTTCACTTGTAGCATAATAGGGCTGAGTGTTTTGTTATCCTTGGCTGTAATCCGTGATAAACTACCCCTGCCATCAGCCTTGTAGTTTACCCACTGGGGAGCCAGATTATTGCCTTGTAAAACGGAGCACCACTCCTATAATCCCTTAATTAATTAAATGACAAATTTTAGTTCTCTCCCATTGAAAATATAACTGGTACAGAGAGAGGACTTGGATTTATTTGATCGCTGCTTGCTTGCACTTTGTTTTCCTGGAGATTGTCACTGTCTTTCCTCGTGTGTCTGGGGGGAAGGGGGATTCTTGGGCTGGTCCTATGCAGAGCCAAGAGCTGGACTTGATGATCCTTGTGGGTCCTTTCCAGCCCAGGACATTCCATGATTCCACTTTTCTGTATGTGCAGGGGATTCTTGGGCTTATCCTGGGCAGGGCCAGGAGCTGGACTTGATGATCCTTGTGGGTCCCTTCCAGCTCAAGATGTTCCACAATTCCATGATACTGTAAATACTAAGGGAGGGTCTGGTGCTAAGGGGTCTTTGCTGCACTGGGTGGTCTTTCACAAGGGTTGAGTGTTGTCCCCATCTTGCAGGAGGTGACACCGAGCTGCCGAAGGTCCCTCGACCCTCTGGGCCTTGCGTTGGAAGCTCCCACACCTTTCCAGGCCTGCCCTGTCCCACTTCCCTTCCTCCATGAAAAAATCACCTCCCAAGCTTTATTTAAAACTCGGCTTGGATCAATTCCCCTCCAGTTGTGTCGGGGGCACGGGGACCCTCCTCCCCTGATCAACGACAGCGCGGCAAAGGGCAGCCTCTGCTCTCCATGTCGGCGATTTTTTCTGGAGCTTATTTAACAATTTCCCCTTCTCTCCTCTCCCCCAGCTCAGCTCGGCCGTGTGAAATATGGGCGACGACAGGCCGTTCGTGTGCGGCGCCCCGGGCTGCGGACAGGTACGGATCGGGGCGGCTTTATGGGAGCGCCGTGAATCAAAGTGGCTGTTTTATCGCGGAACCCAAGCGCTCAGAGCCGGCGTTTGCCGTGATCCCGGGAGGTAATCAGATCCCGGGATTTGCAGTGTGTAAATCCCCGTTACGAGCGGCCCGGGCGCTCGGAGCCGGCTTGGAGGGGGGCTCCTCGCTGTGCTGCCGGTGTTTGCCACGAGCCCCCCGGGGGATCTCGCCGAGTTCCCCCCTGGAATTCGGGGCTCCTGCTGAGGCTGCTCCTCCTCTCCCAGAGGACAGACCCGCTCCCCCCTCCCCGGGGTGAGGTGGCTCTAGAGCCCGTCCCGTGGAGCAGCTGGGAATGTGACAGGTGATGGTCTGTGTTAGGTGAGCCCCGAACTGCTGTGGCTATTTTGGGATGGCTTTTCTTGCCATCCCATTGTGAGTTTCTGCTCCCTGGAGCTGTCGCTGCCTTTTCCGGGATGAGGGATCTGAACAAGGCACATCCCCTGCTGATCACCTGCCTGGGTGGGCACCTTCCCATCCCGTTTTCCTTGGGTTTGCAGGGAAACTGGTGCCGAGCTTGGGGTCTCTCACACGCCCCGGTATTGGGAGGAACGGGAGGATCATGCAGTTCCTGCTGGGGCTGATTTAATGGGAACTCTCAGAAACTGGGGCTGCTGTGGAAGTGCAGCCCCGTGCAGAGCCCAGGGAGATTTGTGTTTGTTTTTCCTGAAGCATTAGAACCTCAAAATGCCTTTTGTAGGGGAAGGAGAAGGGAGGGGAATTGCGGCTTTAAATTAGATATTAAGTGATGTGCTCACTCTGGTTTTCCTGGCTGCAGCCATTGGGTGTTGGGTTGCCAAATTGGGATGGCTGGAATGGGTTTGGGAGCGATAACCAATTCCAGGGTACCCCCCTGTGTGTGTGTGTCCCCAGTTCTTCAATTCATTTAGTACCTTAATGCCTCCTGTGGGTCTCCCAATTGAAATTAGAGATAATTCTGCGTCCCCAGGGCACCTCCTCTGAGGCTGAGTGTGGGTTCTGTGATGCTGTTTGTTTTTATAGCACAAAAAATGGGTCAAAAACCTCATCTGGTAACTGCTGGGGACTGGGGCTCTTTGAAAACACACAGATAAGGCTTCCCAGCTTTCTGGTCCTTCTGGCACGAGCCCCATCCGGAGCCTTCTCTGCCCACTTGCAGGTGATCTTCCTCCTTTTGCCTTTTTTTTTTTTTTTTTTTTTTTGTAGGCTGCTTTTTATCTGAAACTTCTTTGCCTGTGAAATTGTGCAAGTCATTTATAAAATGTATTAGCTGTGTTTGAGCACTTAATGGTGTGAGCACTTCAATCATACAGCCTTAAAATCGGATTCAAACAAGCAATTAAGGCAAACAACAATGTATTTAAATTTAATCTCCCACAATCTCCCACAAATGACATATAAAGGTGGTTGCTTCCTCCTTTCGCTGTTCCAGCCTGCTGCTTATGGGTAATTCTGACAATTCTTCATGTTAATATGGAAATGTTGGAATCCGGGTAATTCATACCGGGATGATTCATGGTGATCCAGCCTGACCTCGTGCACAGTTTCCTAGAACGTCCTTCAATGCCTGTTCAAACCAGAGCAGGTATTAAATGTGATGATCCAAGCTTGATGTAAAATATTTCCAGCGATGGAAAATTCGCCACAGCCCTCGGTTAAGTTGCTCTAATAGTTAATTGCTTTTGCTGGGAGGGAAAACTGATGCCTTATTTCCAGTCTGAACCTGTTCAGCTGCAGCATCCGGGCTGGGGATGGAGTTGATGTTTGTTTGTTGGGCAGAAGATCCTCCCTGTGGAGTTCCAGGTGTTGGTAGGTGTTTGCTGGCTGATGGGTCATCCCTTAACTAAACCCAGGGTGCTCTGAGCCTTTCTCTCTAAGTCCTGGTGTCTTACCTGCATTTTTTTGTCCTCAGTCCTGTACCTCAGCCCCACGTTGAAGGTTTTTAGAGAATCGCAGAATATTCTGAGTTGGAAGGGACCCACAAGGATCTTCAAGTCCAGCTCTTCAGTGAATGGCCCCTCCAGAGATTGGAACCAAGACCTTGGCATTATTAGCACCAGGCTCTAACTAGCTGAGCTCAGCTCAGGGTTTAAGGAGAGCTGGAGGAGCCCAGTGGGATCCTGGAGCTGTGCACACCATCACAGATCAGCTAAAGCTTATTCTGGCTGAGCTGAGCTTCCTGGGCCAACAGAATAAAGTGGGATCATTGGGATGAGCTGGGCAGGGCAGCAGAGTTGGGAGTTTGGAGGATAAATGTGGGTTTGGAGCTGGGGGCTGCAGCTGCCGCAGGGCTCAGGGACGGGGGCCACACTGGTTCCCCAGCAGCTTGTGCTGCTTTCTGGCACTGAACCCTGACCCTGGACAAGCCACTGGGGATCATCCCATCAGGAATGGCTTCTCCATGTGGACTCAGGTTAATGTGGAACCTTGGAAGGGTCAGAGGGGGCTGCAGCTCTCTCAGTTCTTTCCCTCCCCTCCACGGATGGAGATATTTGTCTTCAAACACAGGGGACAAAAAGGGACATTCAGGTCCATGTGAGCCACCAGCAGAACATCCCAACCTTCCCAGTGGAGTCTGTAGGATCCAGAGCTTTGAGCTTTTGGGAAGGTAATCTCATTTTCCTCACCCAGGCACTTGGGCAGGCCCAAGCAGGGCCATGGTACTGGGAAGCATTTCCCACCCCAAACCAGGCTCTGGGGAGGAGGGAGACTTCCAGCAAGGATTCATTCAGCCTTTTCTTCTGTTCCCTCGAGAACTTTGGGTACGTTTTGCTTTGGAAAAGCTGTTGGAATGGGAGGGTGTCAGTGGCTGTTGAGCCTCTCGGTGTTGTCCAGGTCAGCATTTTTGGGATGACTCCTGGCCAGGTCCTTCCATGCTTGGTTCCTTTCAGTTCTGAACCTTTGATCCCATGCCCAGTCCATTGGGCACGGGAAGAGGAGAGGGGAGAGCTGAGCCAAACAGATCTGAAGCCAGTGGTGATTCCTCCCTTTGGTGTAAAGGAAAAAAGAAATTGTGTTAATCTTTGAACCATCAGCTGCTTCATTCCCTCTGTAGCTGGTACAGCCCCAGCTTTTATGCCTTATGCCCTTTTTTCCTCCTTTTCCTTCCTTGTTTCCACGTGGAAAAAAGGCTGCAAAGCCCTTCAGGGCAGCAAGGAGGGGGAAGAGGGAATGGCCACCGAAAATAGCCGAGCAGATCTGGCCGTGCAGGGGGGTGCAGTGGGCTGTAAACATGTTTGGGTTGCCAGGGCTGCAGTGGGGGTTATTTTGGGATTCTCCCGGCAGTCCCTTCCCAGCAGCGGGGCCGTGGTGGCACAGCTGACTCCGAATGTGCCGCAGATGCTGCCGTTAAAAAACATTCCTCCCGAGGTCGTGTGGCTGGTTCCTTCCCAGGCAGGACAGGTGGCACATTTTCCCCTTCCCCAGCTCTCCGGGCAGAGGGAGTGGAGCTGTTCCCCAGCAGGGATGTGCCCCCCCCAGGAGCTGGAGCAGGGCCCTGCCTCTGGAATGCCTGTGGAAGGCAGAGGGTGATGCCTGGAGTCACTGAATCTGTTCAGGGAAATGAATCTGGGGTGGTGTGTGCTGCTAATCACTGTTAAAGTCTCCTAATCCCCTTCCAAGCGCTCGGATGGTGAGAGGCTCCAGCACAGCCCAGGGCTTGGGAGAACTTGGGTGTTGCCGTCGGAGTTGGAAGGTGTTCCCAAGGTGTGTTCCCGAGGTCTGTGCAGTGGGACAGCTCCACCTCTTTAGAGCAAGGGAATGAAACCTTCACCCAGCTCCTGACAGCACCCAGCACACAGGTCTGGGACAAGGAGGGGCTCGGGGGGCTCCGGAGCTTGGGAGCCACAGGGAAGTTTCTCCACGTCTGGCTCCATCTCCTCCCTTGGAAAACTGCATCAAACCCTCTCGGGGGCCCAGCAGCTGCCTGGGGCAGGTGAGCTGGCACTGAAATGTAGCTCAGGGATGGACATGCCTCTGGCACTGTGCCTTCTGCTCCAGTCCTGGAGGCCTTGGGAGCACTGGATGCTCGAGGCTTTGCAAAGCCTTGTGGAGGAATATCTTGATTAATTGAACTGTTTGTGCACTTCTGTTACCAGAACTAACAGAGGGGCCATAATATTGAATGTGTTCAACTGGGAGCACGACTTTCCCCAGCCCCTTCTTCCCCCCTCCACGCCATTTCACTTTTATAAGTGAGACAAGTCATCGCTCCGGTCCTAATTCCAGAGCCCCAGTTATCCAGGCCATTTCCTCAGACAATCGTTTGCTTTTTAAACCCACCCTTAATTTACCAATTTATTCCCCCTGAACCCCGTGCACGGAGGTGCTGCCCGTGCAGTGTCCAGGAAACGCCAAGCCCAGAACTTTCACGAGGCCAGAAAATGATTTTTCTTCTTTGTGGTTTATTGTATCCTCTTATCTTGTCATATAATAGAAATAATGTTTATGGCATCGAGGCCTCAGCATCACTTGGCATTTAACCAACCTCAAAAGCAGTTTATTGCTTTGTATACTCTGCTGCCATGACCATTATCCCTTAAATCTCTATTGCCCAGTAATATACGAGGCACCAAATGGCTCCTGCGATTGGGTGAGCGTGGGTCGGAGGCTGAGGTGTGTTTTGGAGCTTGTATAATCCAAACGAATATGGATTAGTCCTTTTATACGATGTGGAGAGGAAAAACCAACCCCTTCCTCTTCCCAAGCTCTCCCTGTCACCAGTCCAACTTTGGGGTGGCACCGTGTCCCCCCTTCCTTGGCCGCTCTGGGATTTCCAGCTGTGGAACTGCACTGTGTCCCTGTTCCTCTGGGATGTCCAGCTGTGGGATTCGCAGCTGTGGAACTGCACTGTGTCCCTGTTCCTCTGGGATGTCCAGCTGTGGGATTTCCAGCTGTGGAACTGCACCGTGTCCCTGTTCCTCTGGGATGTCCAGCTGTGGGATTTCCAGCTGTGGAACTGTACC